TTCTTCAGATTTATTGTTTGTGTATAGGAAGGCTACTGACTTTTGCGTGTTGATTTTGTATCCTGCCACTTTACTGAATTGATTGATGAGTTGAATTAGTTTTTCTGTGGAGATTTTGGGGTTCTCTATGTATATTATCATATCATCTGCAAATAGTGATAGTTTGACTTCTTCTTTTCCTATTTGGATTCCTTGGATGTCTTTCTCTTGTCTTATTGCTCTGGCTAGGACTTCCAGTATTATATTGAAAAGCAGTGGTGAGAGTGGACATCCTTGTCTTGTTCCAGATCTTAATGGAATTGCTTTCAGCTTTTCACCATTGAGAATGATACTGGCTGTTGGCTTGTCATAGATGGCCTTTATGATGTTGAGGTATGTTCCTTGTATCCCAAGAATTTCAAGGGCTTTTATCATGAATGGGTGTTGCACTTTGTCGAAAGCTTTCTCAGCATCTATTGATATTATCATATGGTTTTTATATTTCTTTTTGTTGATGTGTTGGATAACGTTGATTGATTTTCGGATGTTAAACCATCCTTGTGCCCCTGGAATGAATCCAACTTGGTCGTGGTGAATTATCTTATGGATACATTGTTGGATTCTGATAGCTAAAATTTTATTGAGGATTTTTGCATCAGTGTTCATTAGGGAGATTGGCCTATAGTTTTCCTTTTTTGTGTTGTCCTTATTCGGTTTTGGTATTAGTGTAATATTGGCTTCATAGAACGTGTTTGGTATTGTCCCTTCCTTCTCAATTTTTTGGAAGAGTTTGTGAAGGATAGGCACTAATTCGTCTCTGAATGTTTGGTAGAATTCATTTGTAAATCCATCAGGTCCTGGGCTTTTGTTTTTGGGGAGGTTTTTAATTACCATTTCAATTTCGCTGCTTGTAATTGGTCTGTTTAGGTGTTCTATTTCTTCTTTATCTAGCTTTGGGTGATTGTAGAGTTGTAGGAATTTGTCCATCTCCTCTAGATTGTTGAACTTGTTTCCATATAACTGTTCATAGTAGTTACTGATTATTCTTTTGATTTCTGCTGTGTCCGTTGTGATTTCTCCTCTTTCATTTATGATTCTGTGTATTTGTGCTTTCTCCCTTTTTTCCTTTGTGAGCCTGGCTAGGGGTTTGTCTATTTTATTTATTTTTTCAAAGAACCAGCTCTTGGTTTCATTGATCTTTTGGATTGTTTTTTTAGTTTCAATTTCATTTATTTCTGCTTTGGTTTTTATTATTTCTTTTCTTCTACTGGTTCTGGGGTTTTTTTGTTGTTCTTTTTCTAGATCTTTGAGCTTCGAGATTAGGTTGTTTCTTTGAGTTCTTTCTTGTTTTTTGATGTGAGCTTCTATTGCTATATATTTTCCTCTTATTACTGCTTTTGCTGCATCCCATACATTTAGGATATTGGTGTCCTCCTTGTCATTCAATTCAAAGAATTTTTTAATTTCTTCTTTGATCTCCTCGTTAGTCCAGTGGTCTTCCAGTAGTGTGGCTTTTAATCTCCATGAGGTAGGATAGTTCCTTGCCTTCTTTTTATGATTTATTTCTAGTTTGATGCCTTCGTGGTCAGAAAAGATGGTTGGTATGATTTCAATCTTGGTGTATCTGTTGATGTTTGTCTTGTGCCCCAGTATGTGATCGATCCTGGAGAATGATCCGTGTGCGCTTGAGAAAAATGTGTACTCCGTTTTTTTTGGGTTTAGTGTTCTATAGATGTCTGTTAAGCCCAAATGCTCTAGGTCCTTATTTAGAGCTTTAGTTTCTTTACTTATTTTTTGTCTTGTTGATCTATCCATTGTTGATAGTGGTGTGTTGAAGTCTCCCACTACATATGTGTTTTCTCTGATGTCTGTTTTCAGAGAGGACAACAGTTGTCTGATATATTTTGGTGCTCTTTCGTTTGGTGAGTATATGTTAATGAGTGTTATTTCTTCTTGAAGTATTGTCCCCTTAATCATAATGTAGTGACCATTGGGGTCTCTTTTTATTTTTTTGAGTTTGAAGTCTGTTTTATCTGATATAAGTATAGCTGTTCCTGCTTTCTTTTTTGGCCCATTTGCTTGTAGGATTGTTTTCCATCCTTTGACTTTGAGCCTATTTTTATCTTTTGTAGCTAAATGTGTTTCCTGGAGACAGCAAAAGGTTGGGTTTTGTTTCTTAATCCAGGCTGCAACTCTGTGTCTTTTTATTGAAGAGTTTAGTCCATTTACATTTAGAGTTAATATTGATATGTTAGCATCTGTATTTGCCATTATGTTTGTCTTTCCTTTGATTTTATTTATTTATTCTTTTAATAACTTTTTTTTTTTTTTGGTCTTCTTTCGTTGTTATTCGTCCCTCTGAGGTTCTGGCTTTAGGATTCCTTGTAGTATTTTTTGGAGTGGGGGTTTAGTCGCAATGAAATTCCGGAGTTTCTCTTTGTCTGGGAAGGTCCATATTCTTTCTTCATGGAGGAAAGAGAGCTTTGCGGGATAGAGTATTCTTGGTTGGCATCTGTTTTCTTGGAGTCTGTTGACTATGTCCCTCCACTCTCTCCTTGCCCGTAGTGTTTCTTCAGAGAAGTCTGATGTCAGCCTGATTGGTTTTCCTTTGAATGTTATCTGTTTCTTCCCTCTTGTCAGCTTCATTATTTTTTCCTTGTCCTGGATTCTTGGGAGCTTTACTATTATGTGTCTTGCTGTGTTTTTCCTTTCGTCGTGGAAGTTTGGTGTTCTTCTTGCTTCTTGTATATCAATTTTCAGCTCCTTCTTCTCATTTGGGAAGTTCTCTTCAATTATATCCATGAATATTTTCTCTGTTCCTACATCTCTCTCCTCTCCTTCTGGAATTCCTATAACTCTTATATTTCCTTTCCTCATGGAGTCAGATAGTTCCCGAAGTCTTTCTTCATTCTTTTTCCTTCGTACTTCTCTTTCCTTTTCTGTTTTGGTTCTTTTTATTTCTGTGTCTTCAAGATTACTTATTCGTTCTTCCATTTCATCTATTCTGCTTTCATTGCTTTTCCCAGAGTTCTTTAGTTCCTCCATTAATTCTTTGATCTCCTGCATTTCTCTTACTTCCCTCTTTAGGGACTCAATTTCCTTCTTCTGATCTATCACTTTTTTAATCATGGCAATTTTAAATTCTCTTTCTGGAAGGCTCAGAAGTTCTTCCAAGTTGCTGTCGTTGCAATCTGGGGAGTGGTTTTCTTTTTGTGGTGTGCTTCTTTCCTGAGGAGTTTTTAGGTTGCGTGTGGTTCTTCTACTCCCTACTGTCTGTTTTCTAATTTGTCGTATGCGTTGGGACACTGTGTTGCTCGGACTGACTGACATCTTGGGTGAACTTCTCCGCTCCCCTCTGGCTCTTCCAGGAGCCATCTCTGTCTTCTGGGGGAGCTTTCTGCTGGTTTTAGGCAGTTTTTACTGAAGAAATGTCCCTGTTCTCAAATGGCGAAGCGGGATGCAGTCCCTGCGCCTCCGGTTTCAGGCACACTCTTCTGCGCCCCCGGTCTGCCCCGGACGTGGGTGCCTGCTCCCTCTGTGGGCTCAGACTGCTGGTCGGAAGGGGCCTGGCGTGGAATAACTTCCCGGCTGGCCACTGCAGAAGCCTTCTGCCCTTTTCAAGCAGTCTTAAGAAATTTCCTGTTCTATGGGGTGTTAGTGACTTTTTTTTTCCTGGTCGCTAGGTGGCGCCAGAGATCTCTCCTATTGTCCTTGGGGGGCTGTTTTTCGTCCCCCCCACCCCGTGGGACAGGAACAGAGCGGGAATGGTAGGGTACACCTCAACAGCTTTGGGGTGCTGTGTCTGCCTTGTGCCCCACCGTCGTGGAGAACCCACGCCCCGAATTTTCATGCCCCGGGTCTCAGTTCAAAGCCCTCAGTTCCAGGACGCGGGCTGTAGCCCAGTTCAGTGGCGCGGGAATGGCGCCTTTTGCACTGCTCCCGTGCCTGGGCGCCTGGATCCTGCTCACTCAGGGAGGGACCTTCACCTCAGTGAGGACCTCCGCGCGTCTCCCCGCAAGCCTAGGTCGTCTCCCCGCAAGCCTAGGTCGCAGGCGCGGGTACCTGGGCAGCCGCGATTCCGGTCTGCACTTGCTTTTCAAGCTCCCCAAGCGCGCTGCGTTTCCGGGCCAGCTTACCGGCAGCCAGGGCTGTGTGCGCGTCTCCCGGGGTCTTTGTTCTTCTCTAATGGCGCCCGGAGCCGTTCGCTCACCGCCGCGGCGAATCCTGCAGGGTTCGCCTCAGCTCCCGTTCACGGGGTGTGGTGGCTGCAATAGTTCCTTTCCACTCACAGTCCCGCTTGCTACGTCGTTTGTTCTTGTTGGTTGTTTTGGTTTGTTGTTTTCTCCCTCTCTGCCGTTGGAGAGTGCCGCCTCTGTGGGCGGGGGAGGGGAGCAGGGTTCTGCGCTTCCCTCCCTTCTAGTCCTCTTTTATGGCCACTTTCTTCTTCGGGTAGTTTGCTGGAGTCACCCGTTTATCTTCTGTGTCCCGGTTCTCACTGGGACCTGCCGCTTTTCCTCCCTATTAACTTTTTTTAATGGGAGATCTTACTCGCAGCGTCTCCTCGCCGCCATGTTGCTCCGCCCCCCTCTATTCAGAAGTAACTTTCCCTTATTTTCATCTAATACCTTTTCCTACTTTAGGATCCTATCCAGGACCCCACAATATATATAGTCGCCATGTCCAGATATAAATTTGTAGTTGGAAAAGGATTAAAATCAACTTTAAAATCCTCCAAGTGTAGTAACTCTCCATTTCCACCTTGGTCTGCTGCTGCCTGTTAACCAAGACCAAGGCTCGTGTCGGTTCTGTTCCTCAGTGCTCTGACGTGCTACCTGGTCCATTTGCTGAGGTGGCATCTGCTGGTGTCTCTGGCCTCCACCCGCTGGAGGGAGCAGAGGGCAGGAGGAAAGGAGAGGCCGGGAAGAGGAAGAAGGAAAGGCTTCATTAGAAATCGTTTGAAGCCTCAGAGCTCGGTCTCTTCCCTTGCGTGACGGCGTTCTTGTGACCTTGGCTTTCCCCAGGCTGGAGATTGCAACCCTGAACCGGGCAGACTCGGACCTGGAGGCCTGTCGAACCCAGATCAGCAAGGACATCATTGCCCTTCTCCTGAGAAACCTGACCAGCCGCGGCCAGCTGTCCCCCCAGGTGGAGAGGAGGATGAGTGCTCTCTTCAAGAAGCAGCTTCTGTTGCTGGAGAGGGAAATACAAGAGGAGTACGACCGGAAGATGGTGGCCTTGACGGCCGAGTGTGACCTGGAGGCGAGGAAGAAGACGGAACACCAGCAGCGGAGGGAGATGGCCGCAGCGGAGGAGGCAGAGGAGGTGCTGAAGCACGTCAGCGAGAGGGTGAGGTGCCTGAGGGGAGGCGCGGTGGGCTCTCCCCGGCCCCAGTCCTCATTTTCTACCCACCCACCCGCTCTCCACCCTGCATCTGTCTGTCTACACAGCCACCCGTCTGCCCAGCCATGATCTCTGCATCCATTTGTCCTTCCCCCCAGACACCTTTACACCTGTCTGTCACATCCAACCATGCAGCCACCTGCCTGTCCAGCCACCCGCTCATGCAGCCACCTGCCTGTCCAGCCACCCATCCACCCACCTCACGTTTCCTTGCATCTTTCCCTCTATAGGTGTGAGCCTTTCACCAGACCATGTGCTTCTTCAATTGTAAGAACCTTGTCTCACTTTTCTCTGTGCCTTCACTGCCTACCCTGGTGCCCGAGGCAATCCGTGATCAATAAATGCTTCTTAAATAAATTCTGAATGGGCGGGTGGGTGGAGAGTGGACACATGGCTAGGTCCACATTCACCCACCATCCTCCACCCACCCGCACATGCATTCATCACCCGCCACTCTTCCACTCACCTGTCCACCTACCTCTCCATCCTGGAGCCCCTGCTCGCCACCCCCTCATGCCCGAGCGCCCCCTGGGCCCCCACAACCTCCTCAGCGCTTCCTCCACCAGAGTCTGCCTGGGCAGTGCTCCGAGAGGGTTTCCCTGCGGCTTACACAGTGGGGGCGCCCTGCACCCATGCCTCATCAGTCAGCGTCACCTTGAAAGAGGCTGACAAAGAACAGTGGGGGAATGTGAGATCTTTCTACTTGGGGCTGGGGGCAGTGACTTGCCCAGCTTCCTGCAAGCGGCTCAGGCACGACCCTGCTCTGAGAGCTTGCTTTGAATCTCTGCTGCCGAGAGAAGAGGAGGTCAGGAGCCCTTGCCTTTCCTGCAGCCCCCACCCCTGTCAGTGTCTTACCGGCAAAGATTCCTTAAATGCAGGGAGTCTTGCACTTGAGCCATTGCTGATGGGTTTATTTTTATAAAGCATTTTTACAACTTGCCTGCCTTGCTAAATTGAGTACAGGGACTATAATTTAGTCCAGTCATAATTTCGTGACCCAGTTTCACATTGCTGACGGAGTAGAGCCGGCATAGTGAACAGCGCGTGTTCCAGAACAGCCTGGCACAGGCCTGTGACTCTCAAACCAGAGGAAAGTGTCCCCTCCTGGCCCATGCTCCCCCACTCCCTCCACAGGATGATATGATTTTCTAGGTGCGTGAAGTCCCAGGATAAACCTGGCTCAGTTCCCTGAAAAGTCCATTTTATTGAGAAGTTCAGTAAGGAATTGAGTTGAGTGACCATTATTTTAAAGTACCTTTAAAAATGCAGGTTTGTTGCCAATATTAGAAATACAGAATTTTATATAAACATCTAAATTTCCAGCTTCTCTTAAAAAATCTGAAAGATGCGGTCACACTGGGTCCGTATTCCTGCAGAGCCCCCTTGGGGGCTGAGTAATGCTGGCCCTGTAGAAAGAGCTTGCTAGCTCTGATTTGCCCCAGTCCCCACTACTCTCTACTGCCTGTCACAAGAGGCCACCTCACTCCTTCCTGTACATTGTCTGCTTGGTCTGGGGGTGTATCCCCTGCTTTAGGGTCTAATCGTGTCATCCCTAACACAGGAGGATTGAACTGGGCCAGAAGTTGGGCAGCAAGTCTCCGGACCCCCTTAGGACAGCAGTGTATTTGGAAATTGGGAACTCCTGTCCAAACTTATTTTAGGGCGTATTTCACGGTGACATAAATATATCTTTACCTCATGCTTTACTCTTCAGCAGAAATGCAATTCTACACAAGGACAGATTCTTTTTCTTTTTTAAGGATTTGTGTGAGCATCTCCTGGTTGTGGGATCCTAAATGAATTTCACTCCAGACAGTCCTATTTATTGAAATAAACTGAGGTTTGGGGCTGTGAGTTTCATACTGTCAAAGAAAGATGGATGTGTGAACCTAACCGGGCACCTGACCTGGGCGCACTGGTTCCACCATGGACGTGTGTGTCCAGGCTCAGGGGGGCACTCAGGACGTCCACACGGCCGTGCATCTGGGGCTGCCTTGGGTTCAGCCTCCGCGGTGGGGCTGTGGGTCCCTGCCAGGGCACGAAGCTTTGGGGAACTCAGTGGAGGGGCCTCCTTCCACCCCATGAGGCGCAGGCGTTGAGCCACCTCTCAGCTCCTCTCCAGCCTCCCTTTGGCCCATGCCGTCTCACCTTGCGCCCAAGTGCCGCTATTTTTCTCTTCACCCAAGTGAAGCGTGAGCAATGATGGGAAACTGAGAGCCTGGTAGCCCAGCCCACGGAAGTTTCCATTGTGCAGGCAATTTGACTTGCAGGTGTATACTCCTGGGAATGTCCTGCTCTCAGGCTGACTTGGGGAATAAAAAGTCCAGGGACGACAGCTACTCAGAGCGTAGCAGCTTCATCCTGGCCTGCTGGCCCGAGTGTGTGTGGGCAGCTGTGCGCGTGTGCGAGTGCTGCTGTCGCGTGTGCATGCACAGCTGTGCGTGTGTGTGAGGGCTGCTGTGCACGTGTGCCGATGCTGCTGTGTGTGTGTGTGGGTGTGGGCAGCTGTGCGTGTGTGTGAGTGCTGCTGTCGCGTGTGCAAGGGCAGTTGTGCGTGTGTGGAGGGCTACTGTGCGTATGCAGTGGGCCCCTCTTACGGCCCCTCTCCCCGCAGTCGGCGGCCCAGTGCAGCAGCCTCCTGCGGACCCTGCACAGCCTGGAGCAGGAGCAGCTGGGTCGGTCGCTCACCCTGCAGCGGGAGGAGGACGTGGCCAAGGCCCGCAGGCAGCTGGCTGTGTTCCAGAGGACCGAGCTGCACAGTCTCTTTTTCACCCAGATCAAAAGTGCTGCTTGCAAAGGAGAGCTGCAGCCAGAGGCCGTGAAAGCGCTGCTGCAAGATTACGCCAAGATACAGGTAACTGGACTTGGGCTCCTCTGTCTTAGGGGTGGGGAGGGGTGAGTTAGCTGGGTGCCGTCTCCTGTGCTGCTCACCTGTGAGCTACCTGCCTTCCGCCTGCTACGCTGGGCCAGTGCTCCGTGAACGTGGCGTCCTGGGGACCAGGCCCGTGGCCGGTAGACCCAGAGCCCCGGCACCACCCGGAGCTGGATGTGGGAAGCGGGGTGCACTGGTGAAGGATGAGAGACCGACTGAGTAAAATTTCCGTTGTTTCTCAGGGCAGTGGCATGTCGGAACCCCGCCTAGCGTTCTCAAGGCACTTAGAGCCCCTGGTTCACGTCAGCATGTGGTTTTCTTCTAAGCCTTGTTCAGGCAGGGAGGTTTAATGTGCTAATCCCACCGCTTCTATTCTTGCGCGTTTTCTCTGGAAAATGTACTGTTTTAACTGTCCGGAATGAATTTTCTCTCAATTCTAATCTGATGTATTTTCTTGACTTTCTGTTTTTCAAACAGGAGGATGTAGAGGAGTTAATGGACTTTTTCCAGGCTAGTAAGAGATACCACCTGAGTAAGAGGTTCGGCCACAGGGAGTACCTGGTCCAGAACTTGCAGTCTTCAGACACCCGGGTGCAAGGCCTTCTGAACGCCGCTGCCGCCCAGCTGAGCCTCCTCATCCAGAAGCATGAGAGGTAAAACCTGAAAACCAGCTCTAAGGATGCAGAAAACAACTGACCTTGACCTTGACCTTGACCAAACATTCCTCATCAAAGACCAGCTGCCTCTGTCCTAATCATAGGCGTGGCCTGCTGTACTCCATACCTAAGGGAAATTCTTGGGCTGTGAGGGGTCTTTGCTTTATAGGACTTGGCATTATAGGTGCTAATCTACAGTCTGTCAGACTTGTCAGTCTGCGTCCATGCAGTGACCCCCAGTCGCGTGGTTCGTGTTCAGGGGGCACAGCCCAGGCCGGTCCTGAGGCGGTTGCACATCCCACGCTGCATTGTCTGGAGCTGAACCTGCATTTTAGCGAGAAGCTGAAGGCGCAGGCCGGGGGTGGCATCGCGGGAGACCCGCCTGTTCTCTGATGGAGCTCGCGCCACCCTGTGCGGATTTAAGTCCAAACGCAGACGCGTGTCTTGGGACCACAGTGTCCTCGCGGCAGCCAGGCCCACGCAGCCAGGCCCGTGGCAGGCTCTCAGCCCAGGTGTTCCTCCCGGCACCCCCTGGGGGGCTTCATCATAAACGATGGAATCTATTCTCAGGTCACGAGACGCTCCAGACACATAAGACGGCTGTGCGTTGCTTTTCTCTGGGTGATTCGTGGTTTCCTCCACTGGTTCCGCTGCTCAGTAACTTTGCAGCTCTCTGCACTGTTTAACGAGGTTCTGTGAGGAGTGAATTATGTGAATGTGCCCTCCCAACGGGGCTAATGAATTTGTCGCTGTGGCTGGCTTGACATTCCTGGCCCCCGTCCACTGCAGCGAGGGGAACGGCTCGCACGACGAACCTGACACCGGCTTCCTGCCGTGAGGAGCTACCGGGAAGCGTGTTGCAGCTTTTACTGTCTAATTTCATTTGAAAAGGCTGTTGCAGGCTTGTATTTTTAAAACCTGCCTCTAGCTGCACCCAGCCAGGCAGTCATGCTTCAAGAAGCTTCCCTTGAGAATCGACCCTGTGCTGCGCAGGAGGCCAGCCCACGAAGCAGACAGGCCGGGGGTCCCGCGGGAGTGGTGGTCGTAACCGAGTGCAGCGGGTGGGACTCTCCAGAGACACGGAGCTCGGAGACACGGATGAATTAGGCCACATGGTCACGAGGCGGGAGGGCCTACGGATGTGGTTTTTGGAGTCTGTGCGTTTGGAGCGCGGGGTCCTCGGGGTCACTCTCGGAAAGGTGTCCCTAGAGCTCCCGTTCCGGCGGCATATGGCGAGTTTCTCGGCGAGTTTCTCCAGGAGACAGATGGTAGTTATAGTTGAAGGGAAGGTTTATTAGGGAAAGGGACGGAAGAGTAAAGGACACTTGCATAGACACCAGCGGGCAGGAAGAGCTGCTCCGAAAGGGACAGGTTTGCTGAGAGAGGCCTGCATGGCTGCAGGTGGGGTCCCTGAAGAAAGCGGCCTCCGCTGAGGGAGGCCAGTGAGGAGAAGCCCCGACAGGTACAGGGCACGGGCAGGCAGGAGGCTGCTGCCCTGCGGCAGGAGGGAGTTGGCGAAAAGAGGCACCTGCACAGTCACAGGTGGGCCGACGGACCGCTCCCCGAGCCAGGGCAGAGACTGCAGGGACATAGTCTTCTCTTTGGGAGGGGTCGCTCCTTGTGAGCCTTGGGTTAGTTGCTGATTTGGGATAACTGCAGAATCTGAAAGGGACCGGAGATTCCACAATGGGCTCCATCGCCATATCTTCACCCCTGGGCCTGTGCTCCTGACAACCCCTACAAGCGTCTAGTACCTGCTTGGGCCTTATGCTTCGTGATCTGGGCGTTGGCGCCTGAAGATATTGGTTTCGATAGCTGGGTCAATGGCTGTGCTAATCCCCGGCCCCCGCCTCCAGCTCTTGGCATCGTGGGAGCCAGGTTTCTGGTCTTGCAGCGCCTCCTTCCCAGTTTTTTTATTCTAGTCCTCCATCATTAGCATTTGCCCTCTGGAAGCTGCAGACGAGGAAGTGGGTGGTGTCACCCCGTTTGGGTTCTACAGCCTGAGATCAGGGCATACAGTGACGTCAATCTGTGCCCAAGGTCAAGGGGGAGATGAGGAAAGATGTCCCGGCTCAGCAGGGGAAGGAAAAGGGCCAAGTTCCCCATCCGCTTGCTTTTGTTCTATTTGGCCTTCAGTGCATTGTCTGAGGCCCACCCGCCTGGGGGAGGTGGGCTGGCATGTCTCCTGATTGAAATGCTCATCTCATCCAGAAGCCCCTCACAGACTCAGACACCGCGTTTCATCTGGGCACGTGGCCAGTCGGGTGGACGTGGAGAGCTTGCACCCTTGGGAGCAGCCCCGCGTCACCCCTCGGCTTCCCAGCGCTGTTCCCGTCGCCAGCACCCTACCTCACCACCTCCTCCTGGAAAGTTCTGTCTGTACCAAGCGATGTCCTTGAGTGCTACTCTCTCCCCGACTCTTGCCCATTCCTGCCTACCAGCTGCTTTCTCTCCCGACGCTGTGCTCTCGCTGCTGTCTCCGGACACCAGCCTCGCCCTCCGTGTGGCTTAGCATTGTCATAGCGGCCTCTTCTCCTGCGCCTTCTTGACGGTAAAGATTTTTCTGATTCAGACCAAACCAGTGTGGAGAGAAAGGCCGAGACACAGCGGCCCGCGGAGGGGCTCGGCGTCCGCGAGCACTGTCTTTTCCTCCTAGAGCTGGCTACCTGGATGAAGACCAGATGGAAGTGCTCTTGGAGCGGGCGCAGACGGACGTCTTCGCGATCAAACAGAAGCTGGACAATGACTTAAAGCAGGAAAAGAGGAAGCTTTGCCAGAAGCTAATAACCAAGAGACGGCGAGAGTTGCTGCAAAAGGTACGTGAGGAATCATGTTCTTCATTCTGGGCCTGACCATGCTGGACTCCCACCCAGGGCAGGTACCGCGGGCGTGGCCGGCAGGGCGAGGACCCCCAGGACAGCTGGCAGCCATCGTGATGGGCATCTGCGGTTGCTTGGCTGGGGCTTTCTGGAATGCTGGGGTGGGGAGGGGCGGGGAGGGCCTGGCGTGACTCAGGTCTAGGTACATTAGTAATGTCTGTCCAGGCAAGGGGGTGGGAGTGCTGGTGCTGGCTTGAGCGCACAGTGACAATGACAGGTTCTTTAACATTCATCGTGTCTCCTTGGCCCTGCGCTAAGGCCGTGCATAGGTGCTCAGCGAGTATTTGTAGAATGAAGGTGTTGATACTCCCTGGTCACCAGGAGTGTCTTCCAAGCAGAGCCGAGATTATCTGTGAGAACAGCAACGCCAGGGAGAGGTGCACACTGCCGCTTACCCCTTCCCACCACAGGACCTTGGCATCTGCTGTTCTCCCGGGCTTGTTCTTTCCTCATATCTTAACCCGGTGGAGATAGGGCCTCGCCCCTCAGATCTCACCTGAATCACCTCCCTTGAATGGCCTTCCCTGACCTTCTCCTTTAAATCGTCTCCCATGGACCATCGGACATTGTCCCCTGTTATATGACAATTGGCAGTTGCTATGTGCCTGGGCAAGGAAGAACTGTTGCAGGCGTTTCTAGATGTGAACACTGCACGGGGCACGTCTCTGTCAGCTCCGTGTGTGTTGAGCAGCCTCGCCGCTGCCCGTGATGCGGCTCCGGTTATTATCCCCTTTCACAGATTAGGCGCCGGAGCACAGCTAGGATCCTTGCCCGGGGTGCTCGGCTTGAAAACAGAGGGGCCAGGACAGGGCTCAGGTTTGGTCAATAAACGACTCAATAAACGTGTGTCCAACAACCTCAAACAATGACGCTTTCTCTATGTCTTGGGTCAGGTGGTCAGGGACACCCTGGCTGTGAGGTTGTGGGGGAGCCTGTTACCGTCTGTCCACAGCAGGTGCCTGAGCCGGGTCCCAGGGCCGCCCCACTGAACGATCCTCTCTGAAATCCCTGCAGCACAAAGAGCAGCGGAAGGAGCAGCTGGCCCTGGGGGAAGCCTTCCGGGCCACCGAGGACGCGGGCCAGTACCTGGGTCAGTGGAGGGGGCTGCTGGCCGAGCACGGCGCCGCCCTGGAGGAGCTGCAGGAGCGCCTGGACCAGACCGCGCTGGACGAGCTCCGGGCGCTGACGCTGTCCCTGTCCGAGAAGGCCAGCGAGGAGGTGCGGCGCCTGCAGAACTCGGCGCTGACCCAGGAGCTGCTCAAGCGCAGCGTGCCCTGGCTCTTCCTGCAGCAGATCCTGGAGGAGCACGGCAAGGAGATGGCCGCCCGCGCCGAGCAGCTGGAGGCCGAGGAGAGGGACAGGGGCCAGGAGGGCGTCCGGGGCGTGCGGCAGAGGCTGAAGGATGACGCGCTGGAGGCCTCCGTGGAGGAGCAGGCGGAGCTGAGGCACTGGGAGCGCTTGGTCTTTGCGTGAGTACCCAGCGTGGGCCGGCTGAGCACAGCCGTCACCAGTCAGGCACGTGTACTGGGCCAGGAGGGACGGGCGCCACATGCCCCGGGGCCACTTGGCTGCGCGGTGAATCACCAGGGTGGGGGCAGCTGGCAGCCGCCAGGGCGAGGGAGTCATGCACAGTGGGCAGCAGCTGGAGCCCGCTCCTCGTGGACAAGCAGCAGCTGTGCTGGCACCTGGGTGCGAAGTGTCCTCTGAGGAGGACCCTTGTCCGCTGATCCTCGGTGTAGGCCCTCACCACCCGCCCCTCCCCTTCCCTTCACCGGTTTGCTAAGGGGGTGTCTGTGTTGGTCATGAATCAAGAACCAGCCTCGACTTCTACTTCCGGATAGGGGGTGCTGGTCACGCGGCCACACCAGGAAAGACGCAGGAGCTGGGGGAGCAGGGAGGGCTCCGGGGCCCCTCTGCAGGGGCCCCACGTCTCTACTGCTTCTTGCGGCCCCTGAGTCCCAGTGAGACGCTGACCCACGGGGCCCAAAAGCCCCATGACCGAGACCAGCTTGGCCCGGTGGCTGCTGGGGCTGGCCCTGGAGGGCCCCACGCTGGCCAGCGGGCTGGACCTGGTCCGTGGGCACAACTTACCGTCTGTGCCTTCGACCAGTTGGGATTCTCTTCCTGGACTCGAGGGGTGTCCCCCAGTGTTGATGGAGGGCAGCTGTTCGAAAACAAGAGGGGCAAGGCGAGCAGCGGCTCTCGGTCAGGGGTCAGCCGTGTCTGGCAAACGCCATCTTCGCGGTGCTGATGAGGGAAGAGAGGAAAATGCCTTCACCTGACCCAGCCCGGCCCTCGGAGAGCGGGGATGCCGGGCCCTGTGTGGCCGTTCCTGTGCCGGGAGGCCCGGGCGTCGGGAGAGCAGCACGCGGGAGGGTGACGGCAGACTGTGGGTGGAGGCCGGCTCCATGTCGCCAGCCGCCCGCCCGGTGCCAGGAGCCAGAGGGCAGCCGGTGCTGGGGCATCTCTGAGAGATGGAGGCCGAGGGCGGAGAGGCCCGAGCGGAAGTCCTGGGCCTTGTCTGGGTGTGGACTGGGGGCCCGATCAGGTGGCCAGAAGGAACAATGCAAAAACCCAGTGACACCACAGGGTGTGGGGGAACCGGGGCCGGGTGACAGCTGCCTCTCGGCAGTGACGTGGCGCCTCCGTCCTGTTAGCCGGTGGGTTCTGGCCAGTCGAGGGAGCTTTTCCTTGAACACCAAATCCTGCAAGAACTCCCTCCAGCAAACATGCATCACCCAGACCCTTTCAGCATCCTTTCCTTGGGGAAGGTACTCCGGGTGTGATTTCAACCTCAGCTGCAATTTAAATTCCACACCTGTAGCTCTTTTTGTTAGAGACAGTTGCACCCCGCAGGCATGTTCTCCCCGAGGTGTGGGAGGGGATGTTGGGGCAGAGCTGGAGTCGGGAGGGGCGTGGGGCTTGTGTCTGCTCCGTCCGCTGCAGCCTCTGTCACTCCGTTGTGCTGTCTGCGGGACCTCGGGGCCCCGGCCACACCCACGCTGTGCTCCTCTTGGGCCCCCCTTTTTTTAAGATTTATTTATGCACACAAGAGCTGGGGTACAGGCCAGAGGTACAGGGGGGTGAGAGGACTCACCAGAGACAGGTGGGGAGCAGAACAGGCAGACTGACTGAAACACACTGCTGAGGGGAGCAGCGGGGAGACAGGAGAGGTCTGCTGTGCCCTGTGGGTGCTCCCTGGCCGGGGATCGAACTCGTGCTGCAGAGGCTGTGGACAGCTTCACAGTGCTGAGACTTACCTCTTGGATCCTTCCAAGAGGGACACAGAGCAGAGCTTCTTCTGGCCGCACCTGCCCCTGGGTGAGCGCCCAGGGAGCAGGGCTCACTGCCCCGGAGGAGGGGACCAGGTTTTGCAGAGGGGAGGAGATGGCTCCGGTTTAGATTCCATGACCCCTGGCTCCTTCTTCTCTGCCCCTCTTACGCGTCCGTCCCCTCTCCCCAATGTGTTACTGTTTGTTTTCTTGACCAAACGACGCTGTCGTCTCCAAGTCCATAAACACCAGATCCTTAAATGCCGCTTCTTGCTCCCGCCCTTGTTCTGGGCGGGAATTGTGCTCAATCTATATCCGCAAAGCCTCTGCCCCACCCAGGGCGCCTGGGACTCTCGGAGCATGTGACTAGACCTGACATTCCCGCTTCCGCAGGGCCAGGTCATCCAGTTTCACTGGGATCCATTTTTCAGGGGGCGTTAGTGATTTAGTTATTCAACAGGAAAAGAGAAATCGCACTTTGCTGCCAGGAAACGCTTTGATTTTTCTAAGGGTTAAAGAGGGCCGGCCAGTGATGCGCACCGTGTGGCTCTGCCTGTCTGCTCGCTGGTTTAGGATTCGGAGCTTGCAGCCTCATCCCCGAGGGATTGTGTAAACACGCCTTTGCACAGTGGTTTTGAAGCACATTTTTATGAGCTTCCTAATTTCAAGCGGGATGGAGCTGCTGTGAACCTGGCGATGGAGCAGCAACAATGAGGACGCACACTTGTCAGGGAAAGTGTCTTTGTTTCCTGAACTCCTGCCTGAATTTCAGGGGTGCCACGTCCCATTTTTCTGTATTTTCTTGGTGTCTCCGTAGTAGAGAATTAAGATGGGACCACCCAGAGCCCGTCCAGTCTGACGATGGGCAAGAGTAACGCCTTAGCCTCACCGGAGTGCCTTCACCGGAGGGCTCCCGGCAACCAGCAGGCACAGGGGACAGAGGTCCTCCGAGAGGAAATCTGAGGTTTCTGTGGTGCTTCGGAATTATTGGTGGCTCTGTGGAGTGAGGAACCCAAGCCAGGGGTTCTGGCAGGTGTGCTTGGGGGCGTCAGACCATCTGACTGGGACCCACACCAGCCCTGACGGTCCTGTCTCCATGCAGAACCTCCCAGCTGGTGCTCAGCCCCACATCCTGGTGAGACCCAGGAGGGTAATTCAGGAGGGGCCCAGCAGGCAGTTCTGAATTTTAAAGCAGCCACAAAGCACATTTTACGTGGTCTGTTGCTCGGGCGTTGCCAGAACAACCAATGACTTCGTCTGTAGGGAATGTTTGTTGAATGAATAACTGAGCAATGTGTGTCTGTCTACACATTACCCAAAGCTGGAAGGAAGAGAAAAACCCTCTCCTTGTTTGCTCCTCCCGAGGGAGGAGGCTCTGCTCGGAAGGAGAGGTAAGCTTCTCCTTACTGCTCTTGGGCGGCTGGGCCCTAGGAGGCCTCTCTCTCTGGTAGTGTAGGTTGTGGGCCCTTCCAGAGAGGCGAAGGGGAACGCGCCTCTGCTTCCTCCTCTGCAAAGTGACCACTGAGCCGCCACAAGGATTAGGGGTGACGTAGGCGCATGTATCTGTTCCTGGCACGGCCAAAAAGTGGGGAGGGGGTTCAATAACGGAAGTGCAGCCCTCCTGTTTTGGAGACCGGATGTCGGATCTCTGGGGTCCCCCGCAGGCTCTGGAAGGGTCTGGCCTTGCGTGTTGCTGTAGTTGCTGCCCTGCAGCTGCCTCGCTCCGGTTTCTGCCATCCCCCCGGTGTCTGTGACTTCTCTTGTAAGGAGAGGGTCGCGTTGAATCAAGGGCCCCCCAACTCCCGCATGACCTCATAGTCCCTAACATAACTCCTTGATCACCTCTGCAAAGACCCTATTTCCAAATAGGTTACATGCACAAGTAGCGGGGGACGTGGACATGTCTCTTGGGGGGCAGGGTCAGCCACCAGCGGTGGCCGGCGTGGGGTGGCTTTCTCCAGCGAAGGCTGTGACCCACCATTAAGACCCAGCATGGCCTGAGCCCCGGGGCCGTGCCCCCTCCTTGGGGCCACTGGCTCTGACTTACGCGTGCTGCTCACCCGCCCCGTACACCCCTTGGTTTGCGTGTCTGTCTCTAAAGCCAGTCGAGAAGGCTGGACGGCCTGTTGGCGCCCACAAACCTGCACATGGGCCATCGCTCAGGTGCGTTCCCAGGGCCGCCCGGGCGTGCGGGACGAAGGGCGCCCAGGAGATGCCGTGGGACGAGCGTGACTGGGAGAGGATGCCCCGGCCTGTCCTGGGTCTGCGCTGGCCGCCAGCCTCCCAGCCACGACCCGCGGTGAGAGCTGGTGCTTGTTGCCCCTCCAGGAAGCTCTGCTCCTCGCCTCTCTCCCTGTCCGAGGAGGAGTCACTCAGGGCGCGGCAGGAGGTCCACGGCTGCTTCTCCCAGATGGACAGGAGCTTGGCCCTCCCCAAAATCCGGGCCCAGGTCTTGCTGCAGCAGTTTCTGGCAGCGTGGCGGGAGGCGGAGTGTCTGCAGCTGGACAAAGCCCTGGCGGCCCCGGAGCTGCAGGTAGGTGGGCTTCAGTGGTCCCCCGGAGGCAGGGGTGTCTCCGCGCTGTCCCTGCAGGGTCCGGCCCATGGCCCACCGCGTTCACCTCGCCCACTCTCCCCGCCCCGGCCAAGGCTGCACCAGCTGTTCTGGAACCGCCAAGGTCAATGGTGGACACTGGCGCCCACAGCCCTGTCCTCGCGCTGCCCCTTGATGGCCATGAGCATGGCTGCCCGCAGCCCCAGCTGCCCCCTCGGCCACAGCCGGGGGTCCTCTCGGGGCTGTAGAGGCTCAGATGGCTCAGGAGCGGGGCCTGAGGGCTGACAGCTTGGTGCTGTTTGCCCCGAGCCGCCCCTGCTCAGTCAAGACCAGACTCTCCCTGGGGCCCCGCTTGGCGGGGTCCTTGTCCTCCCCCGTCCCGGGTCCCGGCTCGCGGACAGAGGACCCGCTCTCCGAACCAGCCCTTGCCCAGGTCTTCATGGAGGGCAGCGGCGGCCCGAGGCCCTCAGACGAGCTCCGGGGACGGCTCCTTCCTCGCGCTCTGTGCCCGTGTGCCGGGGCTGTGGGCGCCTCCTGGGAGCCGGGGGGTCACGCGTGGGCCGTGCTCTCACCCCTACAGCATCCGCCCAAGGCCAGGAAGTCGCGCTCCAAGAGCAAAAGCAAGATCGACCTTTTGAAGAAGAGCATCGAGGATAAGATCCAGCTCTTTGAGGAGCAGGCCCCCGAAGACCTGGTGGAGAAGGTCAGTGTCTCTGCCTCGTCTGAGGCTCTCCGTGCACGGGGGGCTGGCAGCGGCCCCCCTGCAGGCACACAGCGTGCGGCGCCTCCATCGTCCCACCCAGGCCCTGTGTTCACCAGCAGGCCTGCTCCTGTCTGGACCCTCCCCCCTCCTGCCTCCCGGCTCCTCCAGGCCCACCTTGTTAACTGTGCTGCTCCTTCCGGCGCCCCCCGCCCCCCAGCAGCCTGCCAGCGCCATTCCCAGCAGCTCGGGGGGGCAGCCTGGTCAGCGAGGCGTGGGTTCACGAAGGCAGACACACGCTGGCGCACACTTGGCGGGGGGAGGGGCCGACGCGCCTCGTGCCTGCGCCGGGAGCCCAGCGCTCGCTGTACGGTGCTGTTTGCTCCTCCGTGGGTCTGACACGGCGCCCGCACTGTCTCACAGGCCTGCCTGTGCTCCCGCTTACCTGCGTTCTGTCCCGCGCCCCCTCCTCCCCTCTGCTTTACCTGGAGCCGGGGATCTTGTCCCCACCTGTCCTCAGGTGTGCCCTCCACGAAGCCTTACCTGAACATCATGTTCTTCCCACGTGCGCCCCCCCGCACCTCGCTCCCTTTCTCACCTGGACACGCGTCCCGCTGTCTGCTCACCCCGCTGGCACTGGGAGGCAGGGGCCCGGCCGCGGGTGGGCCAGGGAGGCGGCAGGGCAGGCGGCGGCCCCGCCGTCGGGTCTCACGCTCCAGCTGGGGAGAGGCAGCGAGTCCATGGAGTCGCGGACCGATGGCGCCACCAGGGAGATGAACAAAATGACGTGGCCGTGAGGGGTGCGGGCGAGGTGGCTCCTTCTTCCTTCCAACCATTTGAATTGGATCTGTCCGCCCACCTATACCTCCCTAGTTGTCTCTTTACACCTGTCTGTCTGTCTGCCCGTCTGTCATGTCTCATCTTTGCCTGCCCATGTCCGTTTATCTGTCTGTTCCTCCGTCCACCCTCCACCCGTCTGCCTGCCTCTGTCTATCATCCCTGCTTTTCACTGAAACCCGAAGTTTCCAATACTTTAGCAACACAGCGTTTTCTGGCGTGGACCCACCGTGGGTGCTCTCACCAGCCCTCAGTTAGTGGGCATTAGGTTTTTGTCATATGGCCAGTGCTTCTGGGGCCTCTGCACGTGCCCCCACCCCTGCAGAGAGGCCGTCGTCTGGGCCGCCTGCACCTGACAGACGAGAAGGCCCAGCCCCGAGCCGGAGAGGCTCGCCCGGCGCGCCGGCCCCTCCCCGCATCCTAAAGTAAAACACGTGTGTGTTTTAAACGTGTCTTTCTCCAGGAATCTCCATCGTTGGGATTTCCTGCAGTGTGCATCTGTTTCAATAAGTAGTAACGAAGACACGTTTTTGAAGGCGAAAAGAAAACCCCCAGCATTACAAACTCTTCATTTTAATTTTTTTCCTGCAATCCAAGAGACTGTTAAGCTAATTGTAATAATGATAATGAAAATAATAACAGTGGTAATAATAATGGCCGATGCTATTTATCAGGTATCGGAGGGTGTCTCCAATTGGCCCCCTAGCTTTTTATTGCTTCCTTTTCACTTCCTCTGAAAAGGAGTCAGAGGGGGCAAGCGACTGCTCTAGGCCACACAGCCAGTGCCACGGCCACCTCTGCCGAGGACAGATCGGCCACAAACAGAAGGAAACATGGCCCCGAGGCTCAGGGCACAGGTGCCTCTGCCCCTCGCCCTCTTCATGGCGGGTGGCATGCCAGCAACGGCCCCTCTCTGCAGCCAGCCTGCCTGCAGGAAGCCCCCTCGCCCTGAGCAAGAGGTGGGGCTGCCAGCTCTTTGGGGCTGGTCTCCCTTTGGACACCCAAAGGGTGTCCCATTCTCCAGTCTAGTTCTCCCTCAGCTGGCCCTTGGGCCTCGGAGCATCCGTCTGTCTGTCCGGTTGTTTATTCCCAAGCCTGGGCGAGGAGCGGGGTGAGGGCTTGAGCTCCTGAGTCCCAGAGACTCTGCTGGGCGACTTGGGGGGGTGCTGTTCTGCTTTTACAGGAGTTTGCGGGGCTGAGAGGGGGGCCCTCTTGAAAGGCACCTGCGCTGAGGACGCTGGCAGGGAAGACTTCTCATTCAAAACAGGAGTATTTAGCGGCTTTGTCTGGCAGAGAATTTGTATTACTTTAGATAGCTTGAATATCTAATGAAGCTTGTCGTTAATACCTCATAGATATGCAAATCCGCGTCTTTTCCCTGGAGTTCTTTCAGACCAGGATGAAAACCCTCTCTAGAGGCACATTTTATGATGCTGGAATGAACAAATAAAGCTTTCCAAGGAAGAAAGGCTTTGGAGCCGCCTTCCTTCCAATGTCCGCCTGCCCTTGCAGTGCGCGGAGGGCTTGGCGCCTGCCCCTGCCCCGGGATATACGTGCTTCCCCTCCTGCCCTCACCCCTGCAGGTGACACCCAGTGCGCGTCCCCAAACCAGGGCCAGCAGCCCCCTCAGCCACCCCTGGAGGACCCTTCCCAGCTCCAGGGAGAACAGCCTCTGCGCAGCTCAGGGGCCCCTGGTCCTCTGTCTGCACGGGGGGTGGGGGGGCGTCTCTTTCCGGCCTCCAGGTCGCCCCAGGAGGGGGCTCTGCACGTCAGTGTTCTCACCTCCCCCAACACACACACACACACACACACACACACACACACACACCCCTCTCAGGTGGACCCAGCTCAGGCCTTTTCCCTTTTCCCCCCAGCTCTGGTCTGAAGCTTCCTCCCTCCCTGGGGGCCGTGCGCTCCTGCCTCCCTGCCCTTGGTGGTGCCATTTCTCTCCCGGTGTCCAGCGTCCCCTCCCTCTCCTCGCCTACCGGCCCCCACAGGCACTTAGATGGGACGCGTGTGGACACAGGTCTCTGCTGTCTGCCCAGGTCCGGGGAGAGCTGCGGGGGGAGAGAGTGCAGCAGCTGGAGGCCCAGGAGGCCCGCTTCGTGGAGTCCCTGGTCTCGCTGCAGTTCCAGAAGGCGGCCAGGATGACCAGGACCCTGCGGGCCTACACCGCCCTCCTGAGCACCCAGGACCTGCTGCTGGAGGAGCTGAGCGCATCCGAGACGCTGACCCCGGCGGCTTGCGCCCAGATCCTAGAGTCGCACAACCCGGTGAGTGCAGGCTGGCACCGGGGCGCGCCGGGCAGGCACTGGACTCCCACTGTCAGATGAGTAGTTACCTGCCCCGCCTGTGCCGCTCACCTGCCCTGCCTGCGCCTCGGAACTCAGTGAGCTCAATGAGGTGGGAGCACATTGCAGCTGAGGCCCAGGATTGCGCTGTGCCGCCGCCCTGGGATCAGTCCTTTGGGATGTTTAAATGCCGACATCTCTGACGCTGGGCCATCTCGGTCAGCAGCATTGCTGTGTCTTTCTAGTGCCTTGGAAAATGAGCTAATGAGCTCGATGCCGTGGGTACCAGGTTTTCTTACTCTCGTAATGGAAATCATTGCTGTTGTTCCTACGTGGTTTCCGTGAGGTGTGAAAGGTATATTCATAAAATCAAAGCGTCGGAGGCACCGTGGGGAAGACTAAGTTCAGGTCCTTTCTGTGTAGATTCGGAATTTCCTGCCTTGTGTGTTAGCAGGATGACGGCGTACAGTGAGGACAAGGAGCGCGGGTTTGCTGAGCTCCCAGCCCTGTGCTGAGCTCCCAGGTCCAGCGCTGTGGCTGGACCTGCTTCCCTTGCAACGCGAGTAACCCTCTTCACCATGAGTCTTAAGGCGGTTATTTCGGCGTGATTAATGACAAGTTGCAGTCTTATGCCGCGGTGCCATTATGCCGGTTGCCGTACCTCACATCAGTTAGCCGTGGGCCGCGCTGTCATGGGGCTCCGTTGCCGTGCTCCGCTCTCACCCGGGGGCCGTGGCGGGTCAAGTTCTCCGCGAGCGCCACAGCTAGGAAGTGATGGTGGCCAGAAATGGGGTCCATCTTTCATTGTAACTCACTACGTCGTGTTTGGGATCTTTGCGAAGGGGGGCGGGCTCCTATAATTTTTTTCAAGAGGTGATGAATAGCCTTAGATTTTGCAGCATCCGAGGCTCTCTCCCCGGCAAGCTTTGTGCGCCCTGCACCAATTCCCGGGAGAAAGGAGCTGGGAGCATTGTTGGTATCACAGCGTGAGACGTCCCCAGGCTGGACGGGTGAAAATGAGCATCCTCGCTGATGCTTGGAGCTCGCGAGAGAAGACAGGACATCCTCCAGGGCCCAGGACACCCCGAGGGAGCTGAGGCAGGGAGGGAGGAGAGGAAAGCAAATCCAGAGGCAGCAGTCCAGGGGCAGTGCTGAGGCTGGGGCCCTGGGGTTTGGGGATGAATGTGGGGGGCTAGGACTAGGAAAAGCCCCTGCTGCACGCGGGGGTCTGCCCATCACCTTGTAGCCAAGGCGTCCTCCTGGGCAGCGGGGAGGTGCACGGTGACACGCGTGGACAGCTCCAGGCTAGGGGTTGCTCAGGCCTCTGGCTGAAGCAAAGCAAGTCCTCGCCAAAGAAAATTATTCTCAATCGGGTCACCTCAGGACTCCCCCAGATGAAGTTCAATCAAGTAGGAGTTTCAATTAAAATTAGAAAGCTCATGATCGCACAGAAAACAGCACAAGATGCCGTCGCTACAGGAGAAACAGAAAAAGATTAAACCCCCCAAAGACTTGAGCTGTCTGAATTCCCAGTGTGGAATATACAATAATAACGGATGAAATTGTCAGAGAATTAAAGAGAGTAACAAAATGACTTAAACATGCCAATGTGGAACAGTTCTAAATTTGCATACAGGGAACAGAGGAAAGAAAATTGATAGCACGACGGGGAGAGCTGGGTAAATCTGCCGGCCCAGTGGGAAGTTTCAACACACCTGAGAGCCGCTAACTGGTTGAGCAGAGGAAGCACGAAAGTCCAGAGGGACCAAGCACCGCCTTGACTGTCGTGCGCAGCAGCAGCGTGAGCTCAAGTCCTCCACACACAGGGCGGGTAGAAACAATTCACGCTGCCGTGTTACTTTTACCGCCTTTTGGAACAAGAACAATTAGACTTAAATCGGTTTATTCAAAGATTATTCCAAAAAGTTCATATTCTGTAAGTCTTAAAACATACTTCTGAATAAATCATGAATCAAAGAAATCATAATAGAAAAGTAAAACTACATAGAACACAAACGCCACGTAATGTTGACAACTGAAATCGGTGGGATTCGGCCACTGCAGGTGGGAGAGGGAAATTTATGCCGCAACTTCTGTTAGAAATGAAGAAGCGCTCACGATTCAGATCATAGAGAAAGTTAGAGGGACAATTACAAATGACCCTGTAGAAAGTTGAAGAAAGAAACTAGCGTAAATAAAATTAAAAGCAAAACCACCATGGAGAGAATTAAAGGTGTGAAAAGTTTAATTGTTTTAAAAGAAAGTCTAATAAAATTGACAAATCTCTGATGAAGTTGACCTTCAAAAGTGATGATAAGGAACAAGTAAATAACCTCAGAAGTGTGAACAGTGGCACGATAGCTGCATAGGATCTTTCAGAAATCAAAGAATTCCACGTTACGTGGTGAATTTGAAAACTGAAATGAAATAGAAAAATCTTAGAAAAATATAAAGCACCAAAATTAAGTCAGAAAGTCTGTATCAACCCATTGTCACGAAAGTAGTTGAAAAACCTCACACACACATATACACATGCACACACAAATACACATGTATACATGTGCACATACACATAAATATGCATGAATATACACATTCTATATCCAACGACACACCTACACGCCAGATTACACACGCAGGTGCACAGGTACACACAACGTAACCATAATAGCTTTATAGTCATGTCCAGTAAACTTTGAGGTACACATTTTCCCAATCTTACAGACAAATTCTTCTTGATAGTTTGAAAAACGACTCATTGTAGGAGGCTCAGATAGCCTTGACACAGCAGTATAAGAAATACCTGGGAACAAACAAGGACAGCCCCGTCCCGCTCGTGGGTGGACAGAGATGTACGATGGATGAAAACACACCCCCGCCTAACGCGGTCGCCTGTCAAAGAGCTTTAAGGCAACACAACCAGGTGGTTTCAGCCGGATGAGGCAGGTGTAACACCGACATGTACAGTGACAGAGACCCCGAGCAGGGGAGGGACGGAGGAGACCCTCAGGAGATCCTTCCAGAGCCGCAGAGTCCAGGTGTCCCACTGGACATCCATCCAAGATAATAAAACTCCTTAGAAAATGAACAGTGGGGGAACTTTCTGTAGAATTTGCCCCAAACCCAGGCAGTCCCCTGGCTGGGGCTTGGCACTGAGGTGCGCCCGGGTTCCTGGGGGCCGGCAGGTTGCTGGTCACGGTGCAGCGGGGCACCCAGTGACTGGCCCCCACGCCCCATTCATGCACCCCTTCTCCTGCCGCCGGCTCCCCTTGCTTCTGTTGGAAACCGGGTGGCACAGCATCTGCATTTTCAGCTTGCCTGGGGGCTCTCTGGAGGAGCCCGGGAGCTTCCGTCTAGTGGGTTGAGAGCAGAAGCGCCTGGCCTGACCCGGAAGCAGCCGCAGCAGGTGGATGAGCTGTCTTGTGAGCCGGCCGCGCCGATGTCTCTCGGTTTGCCTTTGGAGGGAGGACAAACCTGTTGTCTTGCTCTAGATATTAGGCTGATTCTGCAGTGTGAACATTCTAGGGAAACCACTTCCCCATCGGGAACAGACTTTCGAGCTGTTAAACATTCAGGAGAATTAAGAAAGCATGAAAGGAAGTGCGCTGGGGGAAGCGACTCCGAAGGACGCGTCTCCGGTGCCCCTCATTTCATGAAAGATTTAGACTCAGTTTGTGAAATTGGACGTTCGCGAGCATAGCTGAGCCGCGGGCCCGGGCGCAGTGATGGGCAAATCTAATTAGGATGGGCCTACTCGGAGCAGGTCCGTGACCCCAGGCTGCCTGTGCCCGCCGGCTGCCCCTCACCGTCCACTGCGTGTCCCCGCCCACCCGAGCCCCTGCCTTCCCCGCTCTTCCCTCCGCCTCCCCGCCCGCTGGCCGCTCAGCCTGAATTTTCTCATTTCTGACTTTTGCTGCCCGTGTCGCTGTTCCCGTAAGTCCAGACCTGAGAGAGCAAATGGGCACCCGCAGGAGCTCCCTCGAAGCCAGCTGGGGACGCGGCTGGGAGCTGGGCCCGCACCGGGGCCCTCCCCGCCAGGCGCTGCGGCTGCAGGAGACCCACTCAGACGCCATCAAATGGGACAACAGAGTCCTGCCTTGTGCTGTTTCTCGGAGGATAAATAAATCCATTCCTGCAACGATACCTGAGGAGAGCTGGGCAGGGTCCTTCAGGGAGCGCCTTTCTCACCAACAGGCCGCTGGGGCTGCCCCTGCTGGGGAGAGGAGGAACAAGCCCCTGCTTGAGCTCTCGCAGGGAGAGGCATTCGGACACTTCCAGAACTGAGTCTCGAATCCCCCTGGTGCTAAGTGGCAGGTGCATGTGCAGGGTGTGGTCGAGGTCGGGGGCAGCTGATAATCTGCAGGCACGTGTCCCCTTCCCGTTCCTAGCCAGGCTCACTGGAGCTTGCAAGGGAAAGTGCCTCACCAGCTCTGTGGGGACACTGGCAGGTGGAGGCCCAGCCTCCCCCCGAAACCCTGTCCTGTGGGCTGGGGCCTGGGTGCAGGGCTGGCGTGTGACCCGGCTGCCGGTGTGCCTGCAGACCTTCTGCTGGACTGTCTCCATGCGGGCCGTGGCAGGAGCTGTCTGGGTGGGGCCGGGAGCAGATGGTGCCGGCTTCTGCCTCAGGCCGAGCTGCCCGGCTTCTCTCGCCCCTTCGCGTGCAGGAGCTCCAGGAGCTGGAGAGGAAGCTGGAGGACAAGCTGGCACACCAGGAGGCGGCCTGGCAGCAGCGGGTCCTGAGCAGCGGGCAGCAGTGGGCAGGCGAGGGGCCCTGCCTTCTCAACGAGCCCGACGCCGTGGATTCGGAGAGGCAGGTCTCCGCCGTCCTGCAGCGGGCCCTGAGCCTGGGCCCGAAGTGCCTGAAGCAGCACCAGCAGGGGTGAGCGAGGCTGGGGTGCAGGGGGGGCTCCTGACCTCTCAGACTCAGGGGCGCGTCCCCCACTTCCCAGGCTCTCACCGGCAGTGGAGCTGTGGCCCTGGCCTCCGGCGAGCTGCGGGCTGTCCAGCACCCTCCTTCGCTGGCAGCTTCTTTCTCCTCTGTCTTGTTAGCATCGTTGAGCTCTTTCTTACTGAACCTACTTTTTTTTTAAACTTTTAATTCTGAAATAATGATAGACTCACGGAAGTTGCAAAAGAAGCCTGGGGGGGCCCACCAGCCCCCAGTGTAGCCCCTACCCTGCCCGGTGCTCCCTGTAGCCCGACCCTCCTGGCCCAGCCATGCAGGCCTGGCCCCCACCTGCGGGCCTGGCCCCCACCTGGACGGGGGGTGCACGTCCTGCTTTTGTAAAATCCCGAAAAAGACAGACCCCCAGTCTTCTCTGGTCGTGTTCTCTGCCTTCTTTTCCAGTTAGCATTAGACAGTCAGCCGTGACTCTGGCGTTAAGAATTCTTGGAAAACATAGTTTTTAGCAGCCTCGTCCCTCCCGCGGTGAGCGTCACGCTGCTAGGGCCAGGGCAGCCGCACGCCCCGCGCCACGTGTGGCTCCGATGTTGAAAGCACGCGCTCGAGTGTGTTGAAGGTCACAGGCCACATCGGGGGGAAGGGTCAGGTGATTCGTGTCCCTGCTCAGGCTCGTCTGTGCAAACATCAAGACCGGTCAGAGGGGCTGACTCTGCGTGAGCTGAGGTGCGGCTCGAGGGGACTCAGGGCGTGTGATATCCAACTGCTCCCCGCTTCCTGGAGGAAAGAGCTGCTGGTCACCTGGGTTTGAGGGGGAGGCTGGGCTGTACTAACCGCAAGGAGCAGGCCCACAGTCCCGCTGACTTCAGTCGACTCAGTGGTTTAGGTGGGAGGGGGTGTGGCGTCAGGAAGAGTGATGGGGACCCCTGTGGGGCGGTGCCCCCATCTGCCCAGAGCCGGGGCATCCTCAGGAGAGGGTTCTGGTCACCGTCCCCACAGGTGCACAGCAGGGGTGGCCAGCCCGACCCCGGGCTTCTCCACCACAGCCGTGAGGAGTCCCAGGAGAGTCTCCAAAGTAGGGTCCCACATGCCCACGCAGCCACAAGGACCTCTCCCTAGGGGGACATGCTGCTGCTGTCGCCCCCAGACGGGAAGCCTCTGCTGACTGTTTGTGGGTCTTTAAAATTGATTCGGATTAGACTGGGGACTCCTGTTCTGGAAATAGCCAGATGATCTTCTCGGGGACCCCTGCACATCCGAGTGGGCTCGCCTGGCCTCACCGGCTCCCCGTTTGCCCTAGCTGGGGAGAGGAGCAGCAGGGCGGCGCCGCGCTGGAGGACTTGCTGGAGAAGATGGAGAACGACGCCTTCGTGACCCTGTACAGCCAGGTGAGGACGTGCGCGTGCCCTGGGCCAGCCTCACCGCCCTGCCCGCGTCCACGGCCCACGCCCAAGCAGGGTGGCTGCGGGGCTGTGCGGGCCCTGCCGGGGCGGCGCGTGGAGCACTTCAGTCTGCGGCAGCAGCGGCGATCGCCCGCCGCCTCCTGTTCTGCAGCTGGATGGTCACCCAGCGTCCTCCCGAGTCCCTGTCTGGAATCAGCCCAACACAGCCCGAGCAGGCCCTGCCAGGAACACGGGTGGGCACTGAAGTCTGGGCCATGTCAGCGCCCATGAGAGCAAATCCTGCTTCCACTCCTCTGCATGGAGGTGGATTAGAGAATCCCGGCTCAGGGCCGGCACCTGGAGGCCATTCAGTCGCTCGTGGCTGAGGGTCAGTTCGGTGGTTCCCGGAGCCTGCCAGACCCCTCAGCCCCACGCCTGTGGCCCCCAGAGGAAGGTGTGCGGGAGGAGGGCGGTGACCAGCGGCTGGGCTGAGGCCAGGCTGGTGTGGTAGTGAGGAGCTGCGGGCAGTCGGAGGGCGCTGAGGCAGCCGGGCAGCCAGGCTGCTGGGCCAGAGATTGCTTTAGACACTCTGTGGCCCGGGGCATGTTTTCAAGACTGAGCAACTAGAATATTTATCTCCTGAGACTGCACCCCAGTGGCACGCTGAGCACAGAGGTCAGAGTGCGCAGGCTGAATCCCCCCTCCCCCCAGGAGCTGCGGCTGGCGTCCTACCTGTCCAGGCTGACCATGGTGCCGGCAGCCACCCTGCGCCGGCTCCTCAGCGTGGCACTGCCCACGGCCTCTCAGCCTGAGCTGCTGGCCCTGCCGGACTCCATCAGCCAGAAGCATCCAGACCACATGGCAGAGAGTGACCCCGGGGAGCAGGCTGACCTGGGCAGGAGCAGGTGCGTGCAGGCGGCTGCCTCTGAGAAGCTCTGAAAGAGGCCGGGGGCAGGAGACAGCATCTCCCGGGTCTTGAAAGCGCGTCTGTGGACGCCAGTTCTCTCGTTCCACTGGGGGCCGAGCCAGCGTGGGAACGTGGCCCTGGTACTAGACATTCGCCTGGGCCGTTTTCCCGTGATTCTGGACGATGCTGGGTGGACGCCCTCCCCAGGGGGCAGGGTGCTCCTCCCGGTGGCAAAGGTGCTGGATGTGGAGGAGGGGCTGGGGCTGCAGCCGGCTGACCACACACCGGAGGAGGTTTTGAGGGGCCCGGGGAGGCAGGGAAGCTGAACCACACTGAGAAGTGTCCACACGGGCTCCCCAGGGGGCAGGGCGGGTGTCCAGGAGCCCGGGGCTGCCAGGCCTCTAACAGCAGGTCCTAGAGAAGCAGCTCCTGGTTCAGAAGGGCAAGGAGGCAGCTGAGGGGTTGTAGGGCTGTGGTGGGAGCGAGGAAGGCCGGGATGGGGGACAGCAGCACTGAGGGGTTCGAGCAAGAGGGGTGGAGCTTACGAGTCACTTGAAGATTCTCCTCTTTCCTCCTAACTTGGTGTGGGCGTGGCCTCGGCTGAATGACCGTCCCTGCCTGCCTTCAGGAAGCACCAGGGCTGGTGGCGCGACTTGGAGAGCAAGCTTCGAGGAGACCTGAGAAGCAGAGGAGCAGAGAAGATGCTGTGGGCTCGCCGGAGGAAGGAGAGGTGACAGGAGGCTGGGGCTGGCAGGGACGGGTAGCCGGGGGCTGGCAGGGCAGCCCAGCGCTGTGGGCCAGAGGGGTGTGGACCCCAGACGGAGGGACACTCCTGCCCTGCACCACAGCCTGTCTCCACGTGGACCGTTTCATCGGTGAAGACAGGCCGCAGCAGGAGAACGTTCTCATCCTTATTAGCACTTTAATTACCATATTTATTTTCACTCCTGGCTGTTAAGATGGGATTATCATTTGAAGGAGAAAGATTCCTTATGCAGCCTCTGTAGTTTGCAGGGCCCCTTCTGTCCTGTTGCCCGCCCCTCCCGGCCCTGCAGAGGGGCGGGGAGGAGACAGCTAGCGAGGCCGGGCGGCCCTGCGCTTCCCTGAACTCGCGCGCCGGGCCCTGCCCCTCCCTAGCTGTTCTCACGCGCTGGGGGGACCTGTTCTTTCTCAGCATATTGAAGAAGACATGCCTGCCCCTCGGAGAGAGGGTGGCGCTCCCTGGAAAAGGCAGCTGGCCGCACCTGACCCTGGAGCCTGTCGGCAAACCGGCCCCCGTGCCCGTCGTAGGGGCGGAAGCCATCGATCTGCTACACACGGGCGAGAAGCTCTTCATATTCAGGACCCCAGCGGAGCCGGAGATCTCGCTGCACCTTCCTCCCAGGAAGAAGAAGAAGAGCTTCCTGAACGCCAAGAAGGCCGAGTGGGCCCCGGCCGTGGACTAGCCCGAGGAGCCCCCGGGGCCTGCAGCGGGAGGAGTGACTTTCTCCTGCCCCCGTGTGTGCTGCGCGCGTGTGCTGTGGAGTGTGGTGTGTGCGTGTGGTGTAGTGTGCGTGTGGTGCGTAGTGTGTGTGCTGTGTGCTGTGTGTGGGGTGTATGTGCTGTGTGTGTGCTGTGTGTGTGTGGTATGTATGTGGTGATAATTTGCAGATATAATTTGCACCTGCAGAAGACCAACACCCCCAGAAATGCCACCCCGACTTTCAAGAGCTCGGCTCTCTCTGGCCATGTGGCTCCCGGTGGCTCGGCCTCTTCAGTGTCACAGGACGGAGGGACACCAGCGCCTCAGTCCTGCCTCCAGTCACCTGAGAAGACCCCGCAGCCCCCACCTGGACTGCGTTAGCAGCAACCTCTGTTCTCACATTTTGTGTTTGTTCCATGTTTTGTTTTTATCAAGGGAGCGTTCAGAAATAAACGCCTTGTGCCCGAGGCCCTTCTCAGCGGCTCGTTCCTGCTGTTTGCACCTGCCTGTCATTCTTCATGGTTTCTGCGTCTTGGGGCGACGTGGCAGGCTCAGCAGGATTCGCCCTCTTGTTCCAGGCGCCAGAAAGTGCCGCCACTGGGGGGCACTGCCCGCAAGTCAGAGTTGCCTTCCCCTCTCAGCCGCGAGGAAGGGGGAGGCCTCGGAAGGAGAGGCGGGTGTGCGGGATCAGAGACAGGGACCCCAGGAGGGGCGGACCCAGGACCCACGCGCCTGGCAGCCAGGCCCGGCCTGAGCCCCAAGCGCGGACACAGGGTGCTCGTATGCTGACCAGCGAGGTGCACAGGGGTCCTTGGGGGTCTCCATGCTTCTCCGGCCCTGGCCCTCATCAGTGAGCCCGGGGGCTGGACCAGTTCCTGCATAAACTTTGCTGGGGGATGGGCCTCAGGAAGCACAGGCTCCTGGGAGGGGCTGCTGGGCCCTCCAGCTACCTGAGCGCCTGTCTCCTACCTCACCGAGACCCGGCGCAGTGGGCGCCATGACCCACTTGACCCCCGAGGAGGCTGAGACTCCGAGACTGTAGGTGACGTCCGGGCCCCGTCATGGCCCCTACGAGGGGGGATTTCTGGCTTTGAACCCAGTGTCTCCTTTCTGCCCTGATTTAGACACCCCGTGTCATCAGGGGTCACCTGAGGCCTCGTCTTGCCGGCAGGGGCCCTCGTGCACGGGGGTGAGCTGGGCCTCTGCGGGGGGTCGCCGTCTTCCAGGGCCGCCTGAGATTGCCCCAGCCACTTCCCCACAGCAGCCCGCAGGCACGAGCTCTCGGGGGAGGGGCCGCTTCCCATCAGCGGGTCTGGTGAGCAGAGGGAAGCCGGAGAAAGAGCCCTGATTGCGGAGGGGAAGGTGTCTGTGTGTCTTGAGAAGCCCCTGACCTTTCCCAACTTCCTTTTCGTCACCAGCAGAAGGATGAGGAGAAGCCCTTGTTCTGCGGATTCGGGGAAGTGGGACCTGGACAGCACTTGGAGGTGTGATGGCCACCTCTCCCCCTCTCCCCAGGGAGGGGACGCTCTGCCCCTCTGATGACCGCCTGCTTCTTCAAGGACTCTGCTAGAATAATGCATGGTTGAAAGGAGATTGCACATAAGGATTTCAAAAAAAAAAAAAAAAGCTGAAAATTAGGGGCTGGCGCTGATTGAAGAGGCTGTTAGCAACACCAGGACGTCCCCAGGCTACTCATTGTACAGCGTCTGCGCATAACAGTGACCCGCCGTGGGAACAGGCGGAGAAAGACCCACTATGGATTTGCCTTCTGCAACTCACTGCACAGAAACATGGTGACGATGTGCCGAGGAAGCCTGTGCTTCTGGAAATGGGTAGATTGGATTCAAGTCCCAGGGCTACAGCTTCGGAGCAAGCTAAGAACCCCAGCCTCCGTGGCGAAGCAGGGGCCGGGCCTACCCTGGATAACGGCGCCATCAAGACCTGGCCCCTGCTTTGCCACGGAGGCGGAGGTCCGAGCCTGACCGAGAGACGTGAGCTCAAGCTTAGATGATGACTCACCCCATGCAGGACTGACCAGCTGGGCGATGTCGAGAAAATTGGATTCTGTCTTCTGAGAGTTTGGTCTCATTGCGTTGACAGATGACAGACACATGAATGTAAGGGATAAGACTTGCACAAAGAGCAAGCTGTGGGCTTTGGGGGCGAGGTCCCACGTGCCTGGGGATGTTTGGGAACAGCTTTATGCTCCTGACTCCCAAATCTTCATCTCCAGACGGGGCTGGGCTTCTTGGGCTCCAGATTTCATATCTGCAATTGTCAGGCACCTCCTGGACACCTCACAGGGCCTCATCTTCACGTGCAGAACTCACCAGCTTCCGTAAAACCCATTCCCCCATGGCTGTGCCCCTCTGAGCAGATGGCACCACATCTGAAACCTATAAACTGAGGATCTTGCTTCTCAGCCTCCAGCTGTAATAACAGATCCTGCTGGCCGAGCTCTGTCCACCTGCACATCGGCCTGTCCCCCTTCCCGCCATTCCTGCAGGCCTGGGTGGACTCAGCAGTCTCTCCCTCCGGGCTGATTCCAGTCAATTTGTCTCAATGGAAGCCATGTCTGCTGGAAGACCTCCAACGACCCATTGCCTGCAAGACCTTATTCTGCAGAGGAAGCTCTTGCTTTACTTCCTGAGCAGCCACTGAGTAGCAATGAGATCCAAAGAGTACGGGAGGTCTGGGACTGCCCCAGCATCTGCCACTTACCCTGTGGCCCCGGGGAGGCCGCTGCCTTCTGTGGACCCATTTCTTGGCCTGTGATAGAATGAATGATGCTGGGATGTGCCAGGCACAGGGGGACGCACAGTAAGTGTTAACTGGGATGCTCTTGCAAGTTGCTTAAGGTTCTTGAAAGCCACATAGAGGATGGAATGGAAGGAGAAGCGGTGTTGGGTTTTCATTGGTTTCTGTCCCCCAAGGCTCAGCTCCAGTTCGGCTGCTTCTTTGTGGGTGTCCTTGCTTCACTGGCCTCCATTTCATTTGCCTACAGCAACCATCACACCACCATCTCCAGGACCATTACTTCTGAGCTTGCCTTCTCTGGGTCAGACAAACCACTTGAAGTTTTATCTCAACTTTTCTAACCCTCAAAAAGGCCAGGCAGAGGAGAAACTATTCTCTTCCGACAATGGTAAGATGTAGAGTGAGTTTCCCAGTCTCGGTGTATGTGGCGATCACCACTTCTCACCTACCAGTGGCATTCCCGTCTCCTTTCTTATTTTAGGGCACCCCAACTTCATTTGCTCCCCTCCGACCTCAGGAGATTGGCTGTCACGGTTCCCATAATTTCCTGATAGGCCGTGGGGGTGATGCTAACAATCTCTGCCTTTTAACTGGGGTGTTTAAACCATTATATTTAATGTATTTATCACTATGGCTGTACTTGTGCCTCAATTTACCAAATTGCTATTTGGATTTTCAGTCTTTGATTTGTTATTTGCTCTGCAACTTCTCAGTGCTTTATTATACACAATATAGGCTGACCGTCTATGCAGGAGGTGAAGAATCAGTTCTCTTACAGACTGACATGTACAGCACACCTCTTTCCAGTTATGCAATACAACTGACGCCCACCTTTAAGCCAAATAGTCAGCATTTGCAGTATTGTCGCTCACGAAATTGTATTTGAATTTGCGCCACATAGTGCATTTTAATTACATTTCCTTCATATAACTTTTTTCGAGATAATAATTGGCTTGTATCATAGTTATGCAAAAAGAAAGAGAAAGACTTCTTATCTTTTGGAAAAACATACTAAAATATTTATGGACGAAATTATGTGATGTCTGGGATTTGCTTTAAGATAATATTAAAGGGCTTTTGGCCATGATAGAGTAACAGAGACTGAATTTAAGCTTCCACTTAAACAACTAGAGAATTGCCCAAAATACAACAGCACAGCAGCATTCTCAGACTTTGGGAAATAGGCAGCTGCCAGGGCCTGGCACCTATCAGGGGCTTAATAAATAAAGCTGGTCATTTTGTGTTATTGATGCTACCATGATAGTATAACATCAAACGTTCTACCCTCTTTTATTGCTGTTATTTAGTTACACGGATGTTTAATGAAACGGGAGAGCTTTAGCAAATAGGTAAGTAAAAAAATGCAGTTAAAGGAGATGACTTTCATATTCAGGAAACATCTGTTCAGTAACTGAAGTAGTGAAAGCAGGAAAGAAGGGGAAGAGGGTAGGAAAAAGAAAGGGAGGAAGGAAGAATCCTTGTTTTCAAATACATAGAAATAAAAAATAACTTGAAGAAAGTTAAGCAGAATGTTAAAATGCTTGCCCCTGGAGAACTGATTACAGGCGATTTTCTTTGATTTTGCCTTTATGTTTTTCAGTAGCTTCCAGTTTTGTTAAATTGAATCTCTATCGCCTTTGTAATCAGATAAGAGAATAAGGATAACATCTAAAATCAGAGATTTGCTATAAAGACACTCATTTCAATAATTTCCCTCCTCATCATATTCCTGGTTTCAGAGCATCTAAAATCACTCCACATAACAATATTAAATTATAAAATCAGCTCTTCTTGTCAGTCACGACACTGTGCGGGGGGAGGTGGATATGAGGGGTGAGTAGTCAAGAGTTTCTGCCGAGATTGAGTTTTGTTGTCAGAGAAGAGACCTAGATATTAGTGATTGAAGTAACACAGAAATCTAACTTTCTCCCACGCACACAACATATGTGAGGGTGGCGCGGGCAGGGACGGAGCTCCCTGACCCAGCAATGCCCTTCCTGCCCAGCCACCGGGCCTGGGGCTTCCAACCCAAGGATGCCCAATGCCTCCAAGATGGCGCTGCCCCTCCAGTTGTCATGCCCACTTGAGGCGGAGAGCAGGAGAAAGGAGACGAGCAGAGTAACCCAGCTGTCACACAGACACTCACTTACTGCTCAGAACTCCTGGCAGCCAGAAGTAGATGTTTCTACTCTCACTACACACGAGGACACGAGGGCTCAGAGGAACTAAATAGCGGCCTCCGCTCACCTGCCGAGCAAATCCCAGTGCCAGGCTCCCGCCTGCCGGGCAGTCAGCCCCTGAGGCCCAAGCTCTCTCCTGGCCTCCTGTTCTGCAAATGGAGTCACTGCTTGTTTGTCCCTTCAGCCACTGATATGCACGGTTGTTTGCTGACACATGGATATTCAGTGAACATCTGTCTGGTGACTGAGAGAGCGCATGAATGACCATTGCACAAGGGTGGTGAGTGGCGGCCTGGAAGCCCTTAGGGAGGCACTCTCTGCCCAGAGAGTGGGCTCTGGTCAGGCCTGACCAGTGCCACTGACAAGAAGCACCATCTGGGGAGCAGCCCAGGTAAATGTCCTGGAGGGCATGGTGCCCCCCTGAGGCCAGAGGACCAAGCAGGGCGTGCAGGTCTCATGGGGCTGCCAGCAGAGGGGTGGCATAAACTCAGACTGGGGTTTCCCTATGGGCCAGAAGCCACACTATGTTTTCACTGCAGCACAGTCGGTGTCACTCACCAGGGACACCTTCTGGGAAATGTGTCCTGAGGCAACAAGACAAGAGAGTATCTAGTCCCAGGAATGGGGGTGCCGAGATCTTGATTAGCCAGAAGCTCATCCTGCCTGAGCTCCCCAACCCTG